GGGTGTCCCGGGATAATTTTGGGGTATCCCAGGATAATTTTGGGATGTCCCAGGATAATTTTGGGGTGCTCGGTACCTTCTGTCTCCCCGGGAATTTGAACTTGGCCCTGCGCAGCGCCTCCACCACGTGCTCCTTGTTCTGGGCTTTGGTGCGGATGGACATGATCACCTGCCCGATGTGCACCCGAGCCACGGTGCCCTGCGGCTTCCCAAAGGCGCCCCGCATGCCGGTCTGCAGCCTGAGAGACCCCAGACCCAATTCAGAGACCCCAGACCCAATTCAGAGACCCCAGACCCAATTCAGAGACCCCAGACCCATTTCAGAGACCCCAGACCCATTTTAAAGGGGGTTTGTAGCCTCAATTCCATTGCGTGTACTGCTAAAGATGTGGAGTGGGGGCCCAAAACCCGGACTGGAATCTGGGCAAACTGGAATTGGGGAGGGGTCAGCAAGGGGAACCATCCCTAAAGACTCCATCTCCATTTCAGAGACCCCAGACCCATTTCAGAGACCCCAGACCCATTTCAGAGGGGGTTTGTAGCCTCAGTTCTGTTTTACACCCTGCCCGATGTGCACCCGAGCCACGGTCCCCTGCGGCTTCCCAAAGGCGCCCCGCATTCCTGTCTGCAGCCTGAGAGACCCCAGACCCATTTTAGAGACCCCAGACCCAATTGAGAGACCCCAGACCCAATTCAGAGACCCCAGACCCATTGCAGAGCCCCCAGACCCATTTTAAAGGGGGTTTATAGCCTCAATTGCCCGATGTGCACCCGGGCCACGGTGCCCTGCGGCTTCCCGAAGGCTCCTCGCATTCCTGTCTGCAGCCTGAGAGACCCCAGACCCATTTCAGAGACCCCAGACCCAATTCAGAGACCCCAGACCCATTTTAAACCTCCATCCTATTGTATGTGCTGTTAAAAATGAGTGGGAGCCACGGTGCCCTGCGGCTTCCCAAAGGCTCCCCGCATTCCTGTCTGCAGCCTGAGAGACCCCAGACCCAATTCAGAGGGGTCTGGAGACCCCAGACCCATTTTAAAGAGGGTTTGGAACATCGATCCTATTGTATGCCCTGGTAAAAATGCGCAGGGGGAGCAAAAAAAAGCCCCAAAATCCCCCCCAGAATCCCCTCCTGGTTGCAGTTGGGAGCCTGGTGGGATGGGAGAGACCCCAGACTCATTTCAGAGGGGTTTGGAGACCCCAGACCCATTTGAGAGCCCCCAGACCCATTTTGAAGGGCGTTTGTAGCCTCAATTCCATTGCGTGTGCTGTTAAAAATGAGGAGTGGGAGCCCAAAATCCCCCCCAAAACCCGGACTGGAATCTGGGCAAACTGGAATTGGGGAGGGGTCAGCAAGGGGAACCATCCCTAAGGACCCCAGACCCATTTCAGAGACCCCAGACCCATTTCAGAGGGATTTGGAGACCCCAGACCTATTTCAGAGGGGGATTCTGGGCTTCCAGGGTGAATTTTGGGGTTGGTCCTAGGGGGGTTTTGAGCCCCCAGACCCATTTCAAGGATGAATTTTGGGGTCCCCGGGGGTTTTGTCCCCCAGACCCATTTTAGAGGGGCTTTTTTAGGGTCCCCCGGAGTGAATTTTGGGGTCCCCAGGTGATTTTTGGGGTCCCCGGGTTAATTTTAGGGACCCTAATGGGGTTTTCTTGAGGTCCCAGAGGCATTTTGAGCCCCCAGACCCATTTCAAGGATGAATTTTGGAGTCCCCAGGGGTGATTTTGAGCCCCCAGACCCATTTCAAGGATGAATTTTGGGGTTCCCCGGGTGAATTTTGGGGTCCCTGGGGGTGATTTTGAGCCCCCAGACCCATTTCAAGGATGAATTTTGGGGGTCCCAGGGTGAATTTTGGGGTCCCCGGGTGAATTTTGAGCCCCCAGACCCATTTCAAGGATGAATTTTGGGGTCCTTGGGGGATTTTGAGCCCCCAGACCCATTTCAAGGATGAATTTTGGGGTCCTAGGGGGGGTTTTGTCCCCCCGGCCCCTTTGGGTGCCCCCCCAGGGTGGGGGAGGGGTCCCTACACAGCCGGGGGGGGAGGGGTCTCTGTGCGCAGCCATTGCACGCCGGGACCCCACGGGGGAGGGGCCACGACCGGCTTAATTAACTGCGGGATGTTAATTAACTGCGGGGTCGTTAATTGTGGGGAGAGCAACCCAAAAATGAGGGGAAAAACCAAAAAAAAGGGGGAAAAAACCAAAAAAAAATAGGGGGGGACAAGGCTGGCTTAATTAACTGCGGGATCCTTAATTAACTGAGGGGTCATTAATTAAACAGGGAGTAATTAATTGTGGGAAGAGAACCCAAAAATGAGGGGAAAACCCAAAAAAATTAGGGGGACAAGGCTGGTGTAATTAACTGCGGGCTCCTTAATTAATTGAGGGGTCATTAATTAACTGTGGGCTCATTAAATAACTGAGGGGTCATTAATTAAATGGGGAGATTAATTAATTGTGGGGAGAGCACCCCAAAAATGTGCAGACCCCCCCAGGATTCTCAAAACCCCCAAATTTTGGGACTTTTCCATGACCGCCCTCTCATTTTCCCTCCTCCTGCTCAACTTTAGGAACTCTCCCACAACTTTGGGGACCCCCCATAACTTTTGTGACCCCCCCATAATTTCAGGGACCCCCCCAGAATTTCG